GGTTTTCCCCTGCCGTAGACATCCGATATCCTCCACGTGGGAGAAATACTTGTGTTTCTTCCGTACCTGACCATGGACTTGCAAAGTCAGGACAGATTTGTATCGGGGGCAGAGTGTTTGGTACGTGTCCCTTCGTGTCTGTCTACTGTCACGTACAATCGCTTACAGGCATCGTGTGCAAAACAGTCTTATCGGCTTCCGTGTCGTCGAGAGCGTACGTTTAATGTGAACAATCATCGTATACTTTATGGCTTTAGCTTGTGCAGTGAACTGCGCTCGTTTCTCGCTCTCCAAAACCCGACAGAGAGCGAGAGAGAGAGAGAGAGAGAGAGAGAGAGAGAGCAGGCGCGCGCGCGGGCGAGGGGCAATCCTCGTCCGTAGCCCTGGCGAAAGAAAGAGAGAGCAGGCAAGAGAAGCACAAAAAGCAAACCGAGCAGTGTTTCGTGCATGATGCAGTATGTGCGAGCGAGGCAATATCTTGGCTCCTTGGCAGGGCTACTCGGCTGAGAACGGAATTAACTAAACGTAAAGTGGGCACAGTCGTCAGGGGAGGAGCTGCAAGTGAGAAGTAAACTGGTCCGATTTCTGTGCGGAAAGAACCCTATCAGCTGAGGTACCGCATTGGGAAGTACACAGATCTTTTCCCCTCGGAATCTGCTCGGCCCACCATGAACCAGGTCCTGTTGCTTGGCTCGGGCTTATAAGGGTGGCCTACTTTTATGAGTCGGCTCTTTCTTGCAGTTTCAATGACCTGTGAGGTTGATCGGAGATCTGGTCTTCACACTGATCTTCGCAATAGATGTCACCGTGCGCATCATCGTGCTTCGCTGTCGCTTCTGGCGAACATTCATGTCTCTTGGCATTGGGGAGGGAAATCCATGAAGCAAGAGAAGCCCTGAAGAACTTCATCGCCCTGGTCCGAGCGTGATAGCGCCTATAGGCTTTAGCTGCAGCTTTGGACTCGGGAATAGAAGTCCTGAGAGGTGCCTACCTTTTCAGTTGCCTCGGGGCCGTAAACTGACGTCTATCCGATCCCAGACAGGCGGTGAGCTTTGGGGTGTAGCCTCGCAGCGTCCAGGAATTGGATTGATGCTTTTGTGGTCGTTACCTCCTCGATCCAGTGGTTCTTCCCAAGTTTGCCTCACGGTCATATTTGATTTTCAGCTTGTCGTGGCTTTGGACTTCGGATTGCGGAAGGCGGGCTTCAAGGTTGGATGCAGCAGCTTTGTCCTGGCTTGTTCGATGACCTACAGTTTTTCGCAGCCCAAGAAAGAAATCCCTTACATGCCACTGGATCCAGGTCGATTAACCCGATCTATCTGCGGCTGCTGCGACTCGGAAAGATGGCGAGGGCCTTGCGCATGGTCACCATGTCGCCCCTCGTCTTGTAAATGCAAAGAAAAGAAAAAGGGCTTTCGGATGGCTTCCGTCGGTGCTTTGAAAATCGAACCAAATCCTCAAAAGAGTACCGGAACAAGCAGAACCGCAAGGCATTCTGAGGGGTCAACGCAGAAGTCAAACATGTCCTCTTTGGCAGCAATCATGTCGTTCGAAGCTCCGAAGGAAATCCATGGACTCCTTGCAGCTTCTCCTGAAGTGCTGCGCATCCTCAGTGGACATGCTTTTTTGGCCTCTCGTCCTGGTGCCGACATGCGTCGGATTTTGTGATTTTGCGTGTTTAAACTGTAAGATTTCAGGTCGTTCTGCCTGCTCACATTCATCCAATGCATTGCGGGCATGATCGTCGGCGCTTTGGTGCGCGAATTCGTCACGGATTCCTGGCTCTGGCGTAACATTGGTAAGTTTAGGTACCGCAGGGTGTAAATGGTGCTCGGCATGCTTTGCATCGACGCGTGTCGAAGAACTTGTTGGTGCAGCTTGACACATGTTCTTTTAGTACATAGTCGCGTCTTGACCTGATGATGTTGAGACTCGTTGAGGATACAGGAAGGCAGAGGCTTGAAGAATCAGTAATGCTATTCCCTTGTGGTCCCTATCTGTATATCTTTAAAAAATAAGCAAAAAACAAACAAACAAACATCTATCTATATATACATACGTATATACACATACATACACATACATACACATATATGCATATGAGATACTGCAAGACACCCGCCCACTGACAGAGCGCCGAAGGATGGTCACTCGTTGAACCCGCGCACAGATCCAAACATCCCTGCGTCGAGTTGGACGCCTCAGCCGAGAGGTTCTGAACCCAAAACCTGCTTAAGCCTATGTCTGTTTGCCAAGCCCTATGCTTACTTCAGGATGACTCGAAGCTTATGGAAGATCGTCAAAGGGTTTGGGACTATTACGAGACATTCAGTCGGAGTCTTGGCTGCGTCTGCTTCTGTTGATTTTGTGTTTTTTTCTATCAGAAATCCAACCACACTTGTGAAATCTGGAGTATTCTCGGGTCGGGGAGTGGTCTTGCGATCATCATGAGCCCTTTAAGGACGTTCCTGACGATGTTTGAAATATTATTCGCCAATTGGGGGCCGCCTTGTAGAGCCCTCGTCGACCACGTGGACGAGGCGTTCTCCATCTTCTTCCTGGTCTACCGGTGTATGATAGGGTTTGCTGTGCTGCCGGGCTGCATCGACAGAAACGGGCCGTTTCAGGTGCTCCGAGGTTGTGGCAGGATTTTGACAAAAAGCTAAGGGTCTAGGGCCTTAGGGCTTAGGATGCTTACCTTCACCATTTTCCACACCTTCGTCCCATCTTTCTTCTACCTTTTCACATTACCTTCACATCACCTCCGATCTACCTTTATCCTACCTTTTTCTCAAAATCCAGTATCTGTCCGTGTCCAACCCAAGTTTAGGGTTCGGGTAGGTTCTGGTTTGCGCAGTAGGAGGCATTCCTCCAGGCTTCGTAGTGTCGGGTCTCAGGAGAAACCTCCTCCCTCGGCCGATTGAGCTCCCAGGTTGAATGTCGTGAATGCAGTCTTCGTTCAGCAAACCATGCTGCTGGCGAGCAATGATGAAGACTTGGCCTTCAAGCAGAAGCAGAAAGACTGGGCAGCCTGGTGTGACATCGGTAGCTTAGGTCTTCGCCAAAAATGCTTAAGTGATGGCTGCGAAGCAAAGATCGAAGCAACCGGCACCTCTTTTGTCCTCTTTATGTGCCCGTTCCTCGATGCAGATTGCGAGTAGAACAGATCCCCGATCCGTGGAAATTGGCACCAGAGCTTCCCCCAAAATGTGGACCGGAATGAACGACCTACTCCTCACGCAATGCCTTACAGAAACAGCCTGATGAGATGCGAATTCCGGATGCAGGTCTTTTTCCGTGAGCCTTCGAAGAAATCCCGCCCCAAATCTTCCTGATACTGTAAGGCCTGGTACTCGAAGAAGGTGAAAAGGCTGTTTAACGCGATCGATACCTCTGGAGACGGCTCGATCACGCTGGATGAGTTTTCCCAACTAGCCGCTTGCCTTCTGCTGGTTTGCAAAGCAACCTTCTCAAACGAAACTCTAAACAAACCCAGCACCCTGCTGGTGCGAGTGTGAGAGTCGAAACCCGAAAAGCCCCGAGCCTTGTAGACCCGTAACCCCAGACATACTTGGGTTTGCTTGGCGAGCTTTGCGCATCTGCAGGCTGGAGGACCTGGCTTAGCTAACCCGGAGTACGCTCGTAGCTTCGAGGCTTCTGTACGTGTCGATGCCGGGTCTCGACCAAACGTGCCAATTGGCGTAGCTGACTGTTCGCATTATTTGGTTTCCCAAGCGTTTTGTGGGGAGGTGTGGGTCAAGTCCTGGCTGTCGAAACGGTAGTCTTCTCCTTTCGCGGCCTTAACCTGGAGACTTCGAAGTCTCTCCGATGCTCTCAGGTCCAGAGTCCAAAGCTGAAATTTTGGATGAGCCAGCTCGAGCCGCTCGGTGGAAATCCGTCGAAGTGCAGCCCACGCCCGTCTTACCAGCGCCTTTCAACGGTTTTCTTATGTTTTCTTCTTTGGGCGTTGGAGGAGGGAGCGGAGCCGAGGTTAGAGTACCACGACCTTCTGGGTCTCTTCGAGATGTTAGATGATGGGGATGGAGAAATATCAATTGACGAGCTTCTCGGCCGCAGTCCACGCAACTGCTCCTTTGGCCCTGAGCCACAGATGCAGCAGAGTCAAACGGTTCGGCTGTTTGCAGCACCTCGGCAGCTACCCACCCTCGAGTGTGTGCGCTGAGATTAGGTGATTAGGCACAGAAGCCGTTCTGGCGCACCAGGGGCCCACCGACATAGCAGTAGCGGTACTTTGCCGATGCAGGATGCAAGCTTCACTACATGACAGAAATCGACCTCACCTGATCTCAGCCGCATGATTCCTCGCGCAAGGTTCCTCGAGAATGCCAGAAGATTGAAAGGGCCTGCCAAGGCTGCTTCGCATGCACCCGGGAGCGCAGAGGGGATGACTTGTGGAGAGAAGCCTTGATCATGATGTTGCCGCTTTGTTTGTTGTCTCCCACCTTCCTCTGAGTCGTGCTGTGTCATTAATCTCTTTCAGTTTCGCACTCCGGGTCGCTAAGAGCCAGCTTGCCGCATCTTCTGATCACGGATCGCTGGCAAACTGTATGTCCCATTCATAAGAGGGGTGGCCGCATTCAGAAGGAGCGATTGGGTGCAAATAGGCCCAATGTCGGTTGAACAAAAACAATCAGAGCAATCTGTGAGTTCCTGAATGGTATGTGGCACTGTTTCGTAACTGCAGATCCGGAAATGGCATGTCCTGACAGCATGAAAACAGCAGCAGATGTGTCCATGGAGGCTATCGACATGTTCCGCATGGAAACGAAAGTCGAGCTCTTATTGGCACAGGCTGGAGTCTCCAGAGTTAATGCGTGGTTTCCGTAGGTATCGATGCCGGTCGTTTTGGTCGAAATTTGAAATGATAGCGTTGGCAGGTCGGTTCGAAGCCGGTCTTGTGTTGAAGAGTCACAAAGCTCCGTAGACGAACTGGCCTGGTGCCCTGGTGCCCTGCCAGGTGCTGGCAAATACCTCGCCCAAGGCCGCGCGCGCCAATACCAAGACTCCTGGCTCGCATTTGGCGCGCGCAAATGTGCAAGCAGTGTGCAAGTGCAAGGGATGTTGAGTAAACCAACTGGTCATGTCAATGAGACAAGAGGCAGAGTCAGGAAGCTAACAGGTGGTGGAGATAATTACTCCCGATGATCATGATGACGAAAGTTGATGAGCCAAAGAGGATCGAACTGAACAGCTAAGCACACTAATGCTATGATGATAGGCACGTTTCCTCATAATGATGTTTGGCTAGGCAGCAGACCACGGTGTCGATACGACAGTTCTGATGATAATCAATCCGGAGCTGCTAGAGACTGGATAGAGACTACGATGTTGTTGTGACGCTGCTTCTGCTACTTTGGGTGACACCTTCTTGTGCTCTGCTCTCAAAGCCGGCTCAGGAATTTCGAGTCCTTGTTCAGGGCTGCCGGCATCTCAAGGGAGAGCCCCGGCTTCGGGAAGGCCAGCTTCAACCTTTCACGAAGGGCTTCGAAAGAAGCTCCGACGAATCCCCATCTTGTTTGCGATTGAGTTCTTGTGCTGCTAAGGCCATGCCTCTGGTTTGTTCAAGCGAAGCAACCCTTCTTATCCCACTCTTCTGAAGGTGTTTGCCGTGGCGGAGGCTTCGTCATCTGAGCAAAATCCGTGACCTTGGGGCGCAATGCGGCGATACACCTTTTTGTTCCTGGCTCCTGGCCATCAACGCAGTTTTGGGGGGAGCTTCGTGTAATCGGATCGGTGCAGGTGTAGATTTGGACACACCGGTGGAGGCAAGGCGTTTCCTGCTTGGTACATCAAGTGGTCACTTGCCGGTGCCGTTTCTTACCTGGGTGCATGAGGGCTTGGGCTGTGGAAGGCACTTGTTTATGGCATGCGGGAGGTTTCAGGGTATCTTCGAGCCGAATGGCCAGGATCCTGCAGTAACCAGCAAACCACTGCAAGGGGACTGGTGACTGGCTGGTAACGGCCGTCGGTCTTTGACCCTGGCGGGCATCCACGCTTGAACTGCTGTTCACTGATCGTGCGTTGATGTGTCGATGCTTTTTTGATGTTTGCGCACAGCCCGTCAAACATCGGAGTGCGAGCCCGGCCGGCTTCTTGTGAGTCCCGCCAACCAAAAGTCTGGATTGGGGTTTGGTGGTAGCTTCCATTTCTCCCATGGTGGACCACGACCATCACTGAAGGCCTTGAGAAGTATCGTGCTGAACATTCCATCGCTGCACAGAGTGTTGAGAGTGATGGTTTCAGGAGTGTTCCTGCCTCTTTGGCGGCCAAAGGCCTTTGACTGAGGCATCCGAGCCATCGCGGGTGTGTCTCATACGGCGAGAGAGAGCAATGTTGTGTTTGTATGTTCAGCATGTCTGAGGAAGCCAACAGGCTACCACATGCTTCTGCTGGGGTGACTTTAAGCCAAATTTCGCATTAAATCCTAAGTTGATAGCATCCAGAGGTTGGAAGGCCCCTTAAGTGCAGCTGCCGATTGAGGCATGCCAAAGTCTCACCTGCGGCGTAGTCCCACTTCCAGTGTCGCTGAATCACGGGTTAGGATATCTTTACCATATTTGTGATCAGCTCGACATTCCTGAGATTCCTGGTTGTGCGTGAGCTGTTCTTTTGCGTCGAACCCTTAACCCTGTCTTTGTCAGCTCTTCGGCTTCATCTCAGCATGATGACCGGCCTGACAGTATGAAGTTGCTGGCGAAGAAAGGATGAGTCGGTTTCGGGCCTGTTCTATTCTCGAGCAAATACAAGACTTCTCAACTATGTGCAGCAAGGTACCGGCTCCAAAGCCTTGTGGCCAAATTGCGATTCCGGTTCTTATGTAGATCTTGCTTTTCAGGATCCTTGTGTGTGTGGGCTCCACCCTCTGGCTACCTCGCTTTGCACTGCAGGTTACCAAGCCCGGTCAAGACAGCGCCAGGTCACAACAGTTAAGCTCCCCATACGGTAGACCCTAAACTTTCCTAAATCTTCTGTCTATTTGTCCTGGAGACCTTTAGATCAATACGATCTAGGCATTTCTTTCAATCTGTTGTATGGATGGCATCGCTGTCCTGTGCGCCCTGCGCCTGAGAGTCATTCTCTCTATTCTTCCTGCCCCCCACCATGCGATCCTATGTAGATGAGGGCCCGAAGTCTTGAACTAGGTATCTTCATGTATGTAGGAAGTCGGGCCGTGAAGAAAAAGCAACATCTTGTTAGCAGAATCTGTTTATGTTGGGAGCTGTCTTATCGCTCTTTCTCCCCTCAGTTTCACACAGCCGACCCTAGACTTCATGCCTCGCGCCGAAACCTTTAGCCTAAACCCTAGCAACCCTCGTCCTAGCGAGGTGGGAGGCAACAAACCCATGTTGCTTCTCTTTTCGGTGCCACAGCGAAGGTCCATGTTTCAAGAGGCCCCGAGCCACGCCTACACGGTCAAGGTCGGCCCCGGCGAGACCACGGCAAGGCCTTCGGGGTTCAAAAGGTAATGTGGTTCTGGGTTTAGGGGCGATGTGCTGCGAGGGATCTGGCCGGGCGAGCTCAGTTCAAGCCTGGGAAAAAGGGTTTAGAGTACTGCCGCCTCCATAGAGGCCTTTATGGCCCGTAAGTGGGGCTCCCGTAGAGGCTATTTAAGATGTCTGGCTCAGATTTTCGCTGCTTGTGGCTTGCCTCCTCCGGGTATACTTGTTGGAGTCGTGGAGTTGGCCCGAAGGGATCTATGTCTGTGTTCTGGTTATAAGGACTTGAGTTTAAGTTACGATAGCTGTCATGGTTTATAGTCATTACATCATGAGTCTGCGCTCGTTCGATAGCAAGAGCCCAGATGTTGCCAGGTATCGATTGCCAGCTCCTGCCGACGTCCGGCATTTTCTGTCGCTTATCGCGGCACCTTGTTTGTCAATCAGGATAGTGCAGGTTCAGAGCAAAGTGGGATTGGAAGTGTGCCTCAGGAGCTGCAGGCATACGGGCAGTGGAAGCCCACAGTTAGTGTTCAGTGCCAACAGTACCCCTTCCCCTTTTACCATTTCGGTCTTAAACTGCAGTTCCTCGAGAGAGAGGGAGCATGGCCTCAGAGCAACGAGCCGCCGTTAATTAGACAGAAGCTGAGCTAGTTTTACTGGGAATCCATTGCCCCATGCTGTTAAAGCCTCTCACGCAATGTACAGGTTGTTCATCTTGCTTCCGCACCCATCTAACTCGGAAGAGTTCCCTAAACCGGGAGACTGCCCAAGCCCAGTCCCAGGACCAAAGCCCCGCAGAGGAAAGCCACGAGGAAGGAGAGCTTGAGTCGCACAAGCGAGGTTCGGCAGAGCTTAGTTGCATACGGTTTCTGCGCAGTGACACAGGCACACATAGAGTACGTACACATACGATCACATACGCACATGTACGCACGTACCCTCTAACATCCCCAAACTCTCTCTCAAACAACTCTCTCGATCTCTCTCCCTTCTATCTCTCTCTCTCTCTCTCTCTCTCGCACCCTCTCAGATTCACATATACTTGTACACCGACACAGCAAAAGGTGGAACAGTTGGAATAGCTTGGAGCATCCTTCGACCGGAACTCCCATGCAGGTGATCAGCACCGAGATTCTGGCAAGATCTCTCGGTTCTATTCCTTCAAGGACGAGGTGCGGGTGCAATTTAAGTCTCCAAGCAACTGCCTAGGGCGCGATGTTGAACATTGAAGGCACGCCAAGGCTTCAGGACGGCGTGGTGGAATTCTGTAGTCCGTAGTCTGTTGTGTGAGCCGAGAGGATGCCTATGAAACATACATGCAGTGATGACGGCACAGTGTGAAGTCTGTGCCCTGCGACTTGTTTGGGGTGAAGCCGCCCACCCGCCAAAGTAGTCTAGTTGCTGATGCAGACTCGCATTGGTTTTCAGCCTGGCCCGGTATGCCGCGTAGCGATTCGAGACTCCCGAGGCTCGGTCGCAGGAGAAGCAGCGCCGGCTCTCGGCTTGGAACAGCATCGAGTCGGTCAAAGATCCGGATGAGGTATCCCAGCTTGCAACGTTCGGCTTTTTGTCTTCTCCAACTCTGCATTAGAAGCTTGCCTGAGGTATCCCGGTTGTCAGAGCCTCCAAGTGGCAGAGTACTTGAGAACGGTCAGTCGGTTGCTTGTCGGCTGCCGGCTCGGCGAGGAGAACGACCCCGAAGATCCGCTCGCCGCCCTCGGGGAGACCGAGGATCTGGCACAGGAGGTTTGACGCAGAGGCGCACCCGGAGTTCCTTTTTTCGGAGGTTGGTTCTATGAAACATGTGTATGTATTCATATATCTATCTATCTATCTATCTATCTATATGAGCCCGATACCTTTAGGGTC